CTGGTCTAATGATTTACCATCATCTTTGGAAGGAAAAGGATAATAAACTACCTACAAATCTATGATTTGAGAGGTTACTGAAGCCAGAGAAACAGACTTGTCTTGAAATGGCACTGGGTAAAATGACTGTTTTCCAGTGGTCATGTATGGATGTGAGAGTTGGACTATAAAGAAAACTGAGCGCCAAAGAATTGTTGCTTTTGAACTGTGGTGTTGGAGAAGACTCTTGAGAGTCCCTTGGACTGCAAGGAGATCCAACCAGTCCATCTTAAAGGAGATCAGTCCTGGGTGTTCATTGGAAGGACTGATGTTGAAGCTGAAACTCTAATACTTTGGCCACCTGACACAAAGAGCTGACTTATTTGAAAAGACCCTGATGCTGGGAAAGATTGAGGGCAGGAGGAGAAGCGGACGACAGAGGATGAGGTGGTCGGATGGCATCACCAACTTGATGGACATGGGTTTGGGTGGACTCCGGGAGTTGGTGATAGACAGGGAGGCCTGGCGTGCTGCAGTTCATGGGGTCGCAAGAAGTCGGACATGACTGAGCAACAGAACTGAACTGAAAATGACTGTTTGCGGATCACTCTTTCATTGATTGTTGCAGTTTAACTACTGGGAAAAATCAATGGGGGCAAGGCAAGGTCACTCAGCAGCACATTATGTGCATAAGTGTGGAGGGCTGGCCACGGACAGGCACAGGGCTTGCCTTTATAACAGCAGCTGGCTGCGCCTGGACCCCTCAGCCTCTCTATCTGGGCTCATGTAGCTACAGAAGAGATGTGGAGAGAGAGTCAAGCCCAGTCTACACAAGACACAGAACGTGAAGTTCAACATTGTGTCATAGCCTCCTGGGGCCACTCTTACAAGCCATCCTCTGCTTTTTAGGGGCTGATTTTTCTCTCATCATGCTTCCTTTTTCACATCCTTGAAAAACATGTGAAGTAGGCATCAGACATGATGTTCTGCAATTTTTATGTCTATTGATTAGTTGAATTTTCACAAGCCCACTTGAGGAAACAGGCCTCAGAGACGTGTGTGGGAGTTGCTGGTGAGGGGTCCACCCTGCCCTCCTTGTTAGACCAGTGTCCTCTCCCTCATTTAGTGCCACTCTGTAAACATCTGGAGGTCATTAAACAGTGTGCATTTTTGCATGCTAAGTCACTTTAGTTGTGTCCAACATTTTGTGACCTCATGTACTGTAGACCACCAGGCTCCTCCATCCATGGGATTCTCCAGGCAAGAGTACTGGAATGGGTTGCCATGCCCTCCTCCAAGGAATCTTTCCAACCCAGGGATTGAACCTGTGTCTCTTATGTCTCCCGCATTGGAGGCGGGTTCTTATCGCTAGCACCACCTGGGAAGATCCCATTAAATATCATCATGACCCAATAATGGACCAATGTGAGCCTCCCCAGGCTCACTGAAGCAGGCTCTGTGGGGTGAAGCTGAGGTTTCCTTTTGGTTAAAAACTCTCCCAGGTGATGCAAGTGTGCTGCTTGGCTTGAGGACCACTGTGTAAGACTAGGTGTCTCTCCAAAATGAAAGGTAGAACCAAGGAGAAAAAATAAAAGAAAAAAGACTGACATTGATTGAGCACCTACTACAGGCCAAGTGCTTAATCTTATCTTATCCTCCCAGGCAACTGGAAAAGGGTTCCCACTTTACAATGAGAAACTTCTGAGTCACTTAACTATAGAGGTGGAGTAATTTCCCCCAAATCCCAGAGCTCAGAAGCGGCAGAAAGGAGATGTGTGAGCCCAGGCTGTGTTCATGTTGCTACACCACACAGCTAAGGCACACACCTTGGGCCCACACCAAAGACTCAGGAATTAAGCCAGGCTCGTAAGAACTCAAGCTTGGAAGACATTAGAATTTCAGTAGAATGAAACAGCAAGTTATGGGTTTCCAAGGAGAACATTAAGGCAGAGACACCTGGGGGGGAAGAGAAAGATGTGATCCACCACATGAGAGAAAGAGGAGGAAAGAAAAGTGGCAAAGGGTAAGGAAATACTTATACTACACTCACTGTCCTAATTTTCACAACAACCCCGTGCAGTAGGAGCTATAATGATCTCCTTTCTGCAGATGGGAAAACTGAGACCCAGTGAGCAACACCCTCAAGTCGCACCACCGGCTAAGTGGCCTGTTGTTGCTCAGTCACCAAGTCGTGTCCAACTCTTTGTGATCCCACGGACTGCAGCACGCCAGGCTTCCCTGTCCTTCACCATACCCCGGAATGTGCTCAAATTCATGTCCGTTGAGTCGATGATCTATCCAACCATCTCATCCTCTGTCTTCCCCTTTTCCTCCTGTCCTCAGTCTTTCCCAGCATCAGGGTCTTTTCCAGTGAGTCGGCTCTTCACCTCAGGTGGCCAAATTATTAGAGCTTCAGCTTTAGCCTCAGTCCTTCCAACAAATATTCAGGGTTGATCTCCTTTAGAATTGACTGGTTTGATCTTGTGGCATCAGTGTGGATTCAAAATGCAAGTCAGAGTCCCAACTACATACAGTTTACATTGTCCATCACTTTTCAAAAGAAGAGAAAGAAGGAAAAGCCAAGAGGATTTATTTTGTTTAATGCTGAGACCAGCACATTCCATTCATTATCTTACTATATCCATAAATTCAACAAATCTCTTGGTCCTTGTGAGGTAACCATGACCTCCAACTTGAGGTACAGAAACAGGCTGGCTGTAGTGAAAGTGTCTTGCTTAAGGTCTCCATGAGCCTGAAGCAGCAGTTTCAAACCCGTGCTCAACAAGAATACTAAAGCCAGCAGTTGTATTAAAATACTAAACGCCCAAACCTAGGGCTCGTCGAAGGGATAATTGAAACATGGGAAAGCTTTGAACTGGATTTCACTAGAGTGATTGGAAATTGAGATATGACTGGGTGAGGACATATTTTAATTTTGTTTGGCCAGGGAAAACTGTCAATAGGCAGCAGAAAGTGGTTTGGAAATGAACGTTCTGAATGAATGCCAGGTATTCTGATCTTTACTGGTTATTTGAATTTGGGCACAGTCACCCAGAGAGAAAGTAAATAGCCAGTATAGACAAGGACTTCCCTTAGTGCCCACCTGGGACTGTAAAATAATAGCAGAGTAGGTCACTTTTCTTTGAGGGGGGAGGTATCCTTGCTTTGTAATGTTGTGTTAGGTCTCTGCTGTACACTGAACTGAATCAGCTGTTTGTATGCATAGATCTCCTCCAGCTCGGACCTCCCTCCAAGCCCCAGTCCCCCGTCCCACCCTGCCAGGTCAGCAGGGGGCCCTGAGCTGAGTTCCCCATCCCACCTGCCAGGTCAGCACGGGCCCTGAGCTGAGTTCCCTGTGCTATGCAGCAGCTTCCCCCTGGCGGTCGGTTTTACACCGACGTCTGCGGCAATGCACAGAGGTCAATCCCCATCTCCCAAGCGGCTCACATTTGATTGCATCTGATCCTGAAAACTCAGCTTAAATCATGTTCTTTGATCATGTCTTTCACTCCCCAACTCTTAACTCCATAAAGTCCATCTTTAATTGAACTTACTTTTGAAGTTACACAGTAATATGTGATTTTTGTTTAAAAATAAATGTAAGGAAATAAGTGTAGAAGTGAAAAGGGTAAGTCCCCATAACCATTATCACAATCAGGTGAGTGGTCTTCCAGGGTTCTTTTCTGTACACTTACAGACACCAATAGGTTGGTATTATCAAAACCATTTTTTGCCCAGCTACATTAGATTCTTTGTTGAATAAACAGTCTTGGTGTATCCCATTCCTATAGGAGTTGGAAGAAGAAAGCTCTTAAAACCAAAATGATTACATTTCAGGCCCAAAGAAAGTATAAAGCAAAGATACCATTTTGGATGAGAGTTGAAATACTCTTTTCTCAATTTGGAGTCAGAAAAAGGATTGAAGCAGCCCCAGCTTGTGTCGCTGCAGCCCCTTTTATCACTTTACACAGAGGAAGCATTTAACTAGTATTTCTTTAATGAATACAAAATCGTCTCCTTTTACAGATTTCATTTTGGATTAAACAGAGTCAATATAATTAAAAAAAAAAAATAGAGAAACATGCGTCCCCATGTAAATGTTGTAAGGAGTGCTCCAATGAAAATTAAAAATCTTATTATCATCCATGTTAGAGTATTCAAGCCAGGATTCACTTCCACTTTTAATGTAAGTGACATAAAATTAGTCCAGTTCCTTTTTACCATTTTTGAGTCTTTGAGACTTTGCTGCCTCACTTGCCACATGAATTTTCTTGGAAGGGAGCACTTTTGTTTTCTCAAATGAATTATAAGCTTGGTAAGAGCGGGGAAGTTTCTCATGATTACCTGTGTGTTCTTCCAGCATGCACACGTGTTCCGCACACAGGAGATGTCAAGTATTGTGACTGTATTAGTTTAGTTTGCTAGGAATGCCATAACAAAGTGCCACAAACTGGGTGGCTTAAGCCAGGGAAATGTATTGTCTCACCCTTTGGAGGCTACATCTGAAGCTGAGGTGTTGGCAGGATTCCTTCCTTTGAGGCTCTGACAAAAGGATTTGTTCAGGCCTCTCTTCTTGGCTTGTAAATGGCTGTCTTCTCCTTCTGTCTCTTTGTATTGTCTTTGTCTTCCTCCATACATGTTCATGTCTGTATCCAAAGCTTCCCTTTTTATTTGAACCCCTGTCATATTGAATTAAAGCCCACTCTAATGACCTCATCTTAATTAATTGTATCTATAACAATCCTATGTCAAAATAAGGCCCAATTCTGAGGTATCTGGGGCTAGGACTTCGGCATATGAATTTGGGAGAAGGACACAATTCAACCCAGAATAGTGACCGTCCACAGAATCATAAAGTTTCAGAGGGAGACAAACCCTTAAACTCATTTAGTTTGCCCATCTGATGACTGGATTCTGTCTTACCCCAAGCCAAGAGGAGCATTTAGAATTTTAATAGTGTTTTTGGCAACAGGATTTTAGGGTTGTTTTTGTCTTTTAACACGTCCATGTATGTTTTTCAGAATGGTTCCCACTGCCTAAGCCTCAGAGCCTTCAGACTGTCTTCAACAGGTAAGAATTGCCTTGGAAAGCTTACCTTTCTGCAGGGCTGAAGAGACATTTCACTCAGCCTCAGTCCACTGAACACCCAGCCCCTGAGCACCTTGATCTGGGGGCCCAAACCCCATGAAGATGCCTCTTGAAGAGGCAGCCACCTGTGAGTCTGTTAGTTTTTCTCTATGAACCATTTTACTTTCAGTGAGTTTGGTCATTAAAAGTGTTTTGTGCCCCTCAACCATGCCCGAGGCCCTGAGAACGAGGGAGTGTTGGCCTGTAGGAAAACCTAGTGGGTTTATTATTCTTCGACACAGAGAAACCAAATAACATCATTGAGCGGCTATTGGAAGAGGGGGGCAACGTGATTCATGGAGGTCATGCTTTCCCAGGCCCTCTCTACGCAGTCTCAGCTCAGACCAGGGCAGACTTTTATTACCAGCTTTCAACAAATCCCTAGTTTCTTTTGCAAAGTAAAACAGATAATAGAGACATTCCCGGAATAGTTAGCTAACTAAGCTGTGCCAGGCAACCTCAGGGCTAAGAAGAACTCAGTGTTTTCGGACAATGACCAATTACAATAACCAGTATTATTTGATCTGAGAGTAATTAGCCAAGGCTCTGTTCTTTTTTGCTTCAGTGAGGAGGCAAAAAGGGCAGTGAGGAAAACATCAGAGACAGGGGAAAGAAGCTCAAATGTCAAAGAAAAACACACTCTCGCAGGTGGGGAGAAGGGAAAGACATCCCAACTGAATGTTTGAACGCTATTCTTCCCTGAAAATGTGGTAGGATTTAACCCAGTCAAGGTTTGTTTGATTTTTTTTTCATAGTTACTGTTCGTGTGCTTTAAAAAAGCCTCCATGGAGAGTGAATATCAGAGCACAAAGAGTAAAATAGGTCGGAACACAGAACTGTGGACTAGCAAAGGATCTTTTTTTGGGAGGGACGATTCTCCCCAGGGTATCCCCACGCTCCACTCTTATTTTCAAACGCACTATATCACCTGAAACTCTCCTGTTTGGAGACAGGTTCCAGGGAACTGCTGTTTATCATTTCATCCAAGAAGTGCAAACTTTCTCTTGCTAGCATAGTCAGGCTCCCTAACCCCTAGCTAGAGAGATCTGGACTTTAGTTCTGTCCTGTGGCTTTCTTCCATTTCACCACTGGCTTCCAAAATAATGGTAGCTCCAAACCTGCAGACCATCTTACCACTCTATGCTGCTGCTGTTGGCACCGTGGCATGGCAGGAAAATCGCTGCAAGCCCCCCACAGTTACCCTACCAGCCCTTCCTTCCAGGCTGAGTGGGATTTGGATTGGCCCAATATCCCTCTGGCTTTTCTGACCATATGCAATACCTCTGCCTTAGCCCAGCGGCCTTAGCTCAGACTCTTTGCTCAGATTCTCAAAGTAAGGAGTAATATCTAGAGATGTGCTATTTCATACCATAACCACTAATCACATGTGACTATTTCAATTTAAATTATTTAAAATTAGATTAAAATATTGAGTTACTCTACAGATTGATTGTATGGCATGAGAAATTCTATCCAATATCTTGTAATAAACTATAATGGAGTAAAATCTTCAAAAGGAAACCCTCCATACTGAATCACAATGCTATACACCTGAAACAAGTGCAATATTGTAAATCAGTTATACTTCAATTCAAAAAAACAAAATTAGTTGTTCAGTTGCACTAGCCACATTTGAAAGGCTCACTAGGCACCTGTGAGTAGTGGTTACCGCATGAGATGGGGCAGAACAGGCTATTTCCATCATCAGGGAGCAGGTTACACTAGCAGTAGAACTTGACTGCCAGTGCAGGAGACCCAAGAGATGTGGGCTTGATCTCTGAGTCGGGATGATCCCCTGGAGAAGGACATGGCAACCCACTCCAGTATTCTTGCCTGGAGAATCCTGTGGACAGAGGAGCCTGGCGGGCTACAGTCCATGGAGTCGCAAAGAGTTGGACATGACTGAAGCTACTTAGTTCATCATCACCGGAAGTTTTGTTAGACAGCACTGGCCTAGATTATCACATGAGAAAACTCTTGGCTTTGAGAAGGGTTTTGTCATTGAAAGGGGACTAACGTTAGGAGGAATGCCCTGGTTTGGGCATATATCCAACTCTACCATCCTATAGTGAAAATGGACTGGCTAAAAGTTTTTTCAGATTTCCCCTGATTCTCCTTTGAGACTGATACTGAGTCCTACTGATTTGTACCCGCTACACTCCAGACTCCTATTTCATTGGCCTGAAAACCTGTGCCTGGGCAGGGTACCTGTGATGGAGAAAATATCCGCCAGCCCTTTGGGTTACAATCCCTTAAACCAGCCTCCACCTCTGGTTCCCTTCTCTCCTAACTGGCCTGGAAATTTGCAAGGACTGGGGATTTGCAAATTTCTTCTCTGCCTTAAATCTGTGAAGCAATTACTCTTGAGTTTGAGCGTAAAGCTCTGTGTTTGCAGAAACAGTGTTATGTCATGGGAATCAAATACCTGAAAGTTTTTATGCAAATCTTATGCAAAAATTAGGCAAATTCCGAGTCAGGGCCAGGGCTTCCAGCATCGCTCATTCATGGTACCTGGGGAGGAAAGGGTATCTGTGGAGGCTTAAGGTTGGTGTGTACATTCAGCATTAAGAAAGCCCATCTGTTTTTGTTTATTTGGGGAGTTGCATGGCAATGCAACTTAGTTCTGAAAGTCAGGCATTATTTCTGCAGTTAACTACCTCTCAGAATCAGCAGTTTTTTGTCTTGTGCTTCCACTTGTAAACCTGTATGTGGCCTCTAGAGGTGGGTGTACTTGAATGATTGGCACTAGATTAGCAAAGACTTTCAGACTTTGTAAGTAAATAGGAAGCATGAAGACCCACAGGGCTTGCAGGGTCAGCCCCTGCCACCCTCCATGGCTTCATAGCAAGCCCCTCTTCTCTTTATCCCAGGCCCACCAGCTGGCCTTTCTTTCTTTCTTTAAAATCACTTTTCTCCCTCTCACCCTGGAGGTCTGCAACACCTGCCCCTCCCCCGCCCCAGATCCTCAGTTCTCAGCCCAAATGCTGCTTCCTCAGGAGAGTCTTCCCTGACCCCCTCCTAAGTCAAGTATCTGGACCTTCTTCACAGTTGTGTTTATGCATCTGTATGACCATTTAATTAGTGTCTGATTCCTCTACTAAATTAAGCTGCCAGAATATAGGATTCCTGTATCTCCCAGGTCCAACCACCTACATAGTAGTTGCTCAACTAATGGATTTGCTCTACTCCAAATTTATAATTCAGCATTAGGTCAACTTGAGGATTTGTCCTTACTGTAAGTTGGGTATTTAATTATCTTTCTTGCTTATGCTCTATCTCAGGGGAAACCAATAGAGCTTCTTAGAGAAAGCCCTGGGAGCTGAGCTTCAAAATTGCTGTAAACAAGGCTTTTTTTCCCACTCGAGTTTTACCTTCCAGGATCTCTTCTCTCCCTCCTCCCATTCCAGAATTCTGTGCTCACCACCCTTGGAGCGTGTTTCCAACTGGGCTTTTCTGCTTGCAAGGGGCTGCTGTATCCCTCAAAGAAAGAGTCCTTAATTATATATTTCTGTTTCCATAATTACAATTTCCAGGTCTTTCATGTATACAGGGTGCCCAGAGCCATGGTGGAGGGGGTGGGCTGGGGGCTGAATGATGGAATGCTGAAGTGTTCCCTTTATCTGAGTCACAGGACAGGTAACAGTTTCAGCGTGGGAGTTATTTTTCCATTACCATCAACTTTACTAGTCCCAGGAAAATTCTATTTGAAATCTTTTTAGCCATCTCCTTTTCTTTGCTTTTCTTCTTTCCCCCTTGACTTTTCAGAAATGAGGCCTCTGGAGATATTCTCTGTCTCTCTCTCACTTTTCCAGGCTGGGCAGGGCTCCTGAAGCTGAAGATCTGGCCTCCCAAATGCTGAAGGGCTTTCCGAGAGCCCATGTCTCAGCCCAGGAAGCGCTGATTCACAATTATTTCAGTGTCCTGCCGACTCAGCTGCACCAGCTTCCAGACGGTGAGCAAAGGAGTCGGGGGTGGGGGGGTGGCGCGGGGGGCAGGTATACACGGACACACATAAGTCTTGGTGTCTGTTTTCTTGAAGCACTGGAGAATCATAGAATTTGCAACCAGAAACATGCTTAGAGCTGGGAAAAGCAAGATGGGACAAAATCTTTCCCAAATTTTGTCTGTGACTTTCTAAAACTCAGAAGTTGAGGGTTGAGGTGACACAGGCCTCCTTGTAACCATCCAAACATTTCCCCTATACGCACACTTAGAAAGTAGGAGAGATGAAAGCTGCCTTTGAGTTTGCTTTTGCTAGCATCTGCCAGGAGAAGCCAAACCAAAGTTTCTAACAACCCCCTTTTCTCTTTCCGTGGAGTAAGATGATAGGTGACATGGATACATCAGGAGAGGAGAGCTGGGCCTGTCTTGATTGGTAATCTGATGCTGCCCAAGGAAGTGCGGGTGGGGCATGGGGAGAGGGGAGCATCCTCCCAGGCTGGCCGCCCACAGGAAGCACAAGTTATTCTGAAATGAGCCTTGCTGCCTGGGCCTGAAGTCATCCTCCAAATCTGAAAACTGCCGAGGGGTCATGTGGCTGGAGCGCTCCTCGTGTTTCTCAGAATGTGGCCAGGAAGAGCTGTGCGGAGGTCGTGGGTAGCGCAGCCATGGCCCTGGCTGTTCGCCTGGGACCCTCCTTAGGTGGGGGTGCTTTCAAAACACCCACCATTCAAGTGATAACAGTTTTTCAAGTCCTGAGCCAGAGAAAAGAAAGCTGAGGAAGGTTGTAGGGGCTCTGACTGAGAGGAGGGAACTGGGATGGGCTGTGGTCAGGAACTACTGTCCAAGATGGTCTGACCGATGTCTCCAGGATTTTCAGGTACAGCTCCACTGTACCTGGGATGTGATTTTGCATCCGTCAAAAGCTTTTAATTTGGGGCTTCTCGAGGTATTTTATTATTAAAGTGAGTCATTTAGGATTTCCAAAAATAACCATAATCATACAACCGGGGTTAATGTCACACTTAACCCTGTAAGAAGAGTCGGTCATCAGTATTTATTAAGTTGCCGTTAAGTGTCAAGAACATATTAAGTGCTATAAAATTTGAGGGAAAAAGGAGGCTTGTCCTTGACCTCAAGGAGCCTATGAAGTGGGAGGGAAAGAGGGTGAGGAAGAGGAAGCAGGACACCCTGTACACATATTAGCACAAATCATATCTAAACAGCTAAAGTCTGGCATAATCAGCTACAGATGTTCCGAGAATATGTGTGCACTGAAGGCGGTGCTCGGAGGAGCCGCTGTGGAACAACTCCAGTAAGACAGATGAGACTGGAGGTGACTCCGGAGAGGAATTTGGAAGGAGGGGAGGGACATGGCTTGGCCTATGGGTAGACTAAGAGACATTCCAGGCAACTTAACAATTCTTACTCCCTTCTTGGTACCTCCTCCCAAGCTTTATCCCCACCCCCCACTCCCATCTCAATACCCTCTGCCCAGTCTGAGCCCCAAGACCCCCACTCCTTAGCCTTCTCCTCTTGGGCCTGGGACTTGTCTAACTTCCACTTCATGCAAATAGACGCACCGGGGGTGTGCACACATACATTCACACCCCTTCTCTCCACTTAACAACGTATCTCCCATGGAGAGACATATATAAATAAATAAATAGAAATAAATCCTCCTCCAGGATTTATTATTCTAGGTCCTGAGAACCACTGAGGACCTTCAGAGTTTTCTGGGTACCAGCTTTTCCTTTGGAGCCATTAGCAGGAAACAATGTGTTTGTTAGAAACTCGGGTTTTGATTCTTCCTGGTCATCTGGAGCAAAGCTACCAACAGAGGGGCTGCATTGTGTGTGTGTGTCTGCCTGTGTGTGCGTGCCCACGCGGGCACAGGGGAGGGGTCCATCTGTATTCCTTCTCTGTTCACCCAGCCACGGAGCCCAAATCTACTTTGACACTTTTAGAAAAATGAAAAGATGGAATCTTGCAGGAGCCTGCCTGCGCCGAGGGGGGGGATGAGGAGCACTCACAGCAGGAGGGAAGTTGACTTTTCTTTATACATATAGGGGTTTTTCCATGCAGAGTTTAAATTATGCCTGATAAAAGGAGCTTCGTGGATGTTTCAGTTCTTTCAAATTCTCCTGGCTTCCTCCCAATTAAATGAGGTTTGTCAAAGCCACAGGGCTCTGCTGCTGCTGCCTCGGCCGACAAGCACTTCCTGCAGCGACATCTCGAATCCCCAAGGGAGAAGATGAAAGGGCCAGCGCCAAGAGACAGGGGAAGGGGGGCAGATTGTGTGTGTGCGCACGTGTGTGTGTGTGCGCGCGCACGCTTGGGGCGGGGGCGGTGTGCAGAAACAGGTTTAGATACGGATTGACAGATAGGACGTGGATAAGAAGATGGGGAAAGCACAACTACCACGGCAACCGGAGAGAAAAACAGAGGAAGGCAGAGCAGCACTGAGTCCAGTTTGGGCACCTTGAGGACTGTGGCCATCACCACGTGTGACATGATGCCACCATGTCTTCTAAGGGCGCCCCCTCTCGGCCTGGCAGTGCCAGACTAGTTCTCATTGTTCATGGCAACAAGCCTTGATGAAGAGCCTCCTTTGCAGATGGGGTGCAACGGGACCTCTCGGTTCCCAACCCTCAGGGACCCAGAGTCTCCACCCCAGGGGCGGGCTGCTCCAGGCGTAAGGACTGTGCAAAAGTCAGATACGCTCTTGCGAGTGCTTGGTCAAGAGAGTTTCCATAATTATGCAAGAAATTTTGTTCTCTGGTGGCAGTATGGAATCACTTAGTGGGTTATATTTGTATCATTTTATTATTCTGGCTTTATTCCGGTTGCAGGATAACAAAGTTGTCACTTTCCACTTCATGCAAATAGACGCACCGGGGGTGTGCACACATACATTCACACCCCTTCTCTCCACTTAACAACGTATCTCCCATGGAGAGACATATATAAATAAATAAATAGAAATAAATCCTCCTCCAGGATTTATTATTCTAGGTCCTGAGAACCACTGAGGACCTTCAGAGTTTTCTGGGTACCAGCTTTTCCTTTGGAGCCATTAGCAGGAAACAATGTGTTTGTTAGAAACTCGGGTTTTGATTCTTCCTGGTCATCTGGAGCAAAGCTACCAACAGAGGGGCTGCATTGTGTGTGTGTGTCTGCCTGTGTGTGCGTGCCCACGCGGGCACAGGGGAGGGGTCCATCTGTATTCCTTCTCTGTTCACCCAGCCACGGAGCCCAAATCTACTTTGACACTTTTAGAAAAATGAAAAGATGGAATCTTGCAGGAGCCTGCCTGCGCCGAGGGGGGGGATGAGGAGCACTCACAGCAGGAGGGAAGTTGACTTTTCTTTATACATATAGGGGTTTTTCCATGCAGAGTTTAAATTATGCCTGATAAAAGGAGCTTCGTGGATGTTTCAGTTCTTTCAAATTCTCCTGGCTTCCTCCCAATTAAATGAGGTTTGTCAAAGCCACAGGGCTCTGCTGCTGCTGCCTCGGCCGACAAGCACTTCCTGCAGCGACATCTCGAATCCCCAAGGGAGAAGATGAAAGGGCCAGCGCCAAGAGACAGGGGAAGGGGGGCAGATTGTGTGTGTGCGCACGTGTGTGTGTGTGCGCGCGCACGCTTGGGGCGGGGGCGGTGTGCAGAAACAGGTTTAGATACGGATTGACAGATAGGACGTGGATAAGAAGATGGGGAAAGCACAACTACCACGGCAACCGGAGAGAAAAACAGAGGAAGGCAGAGCAGCACTGAGTCCAGTTTGGGCACCTTGAGGACTGTGGCCATCACCACGTGTGACATGATGCCACCATGTCTTCTAAGGGCGCCCCCTCTCGGCCTGGCAGTGCCAGACTAGTTCTCATTGTTCATGGCAACAAGCCTTGATGAAGAGCCTCCTTTGCAGATGGGGTGCAACGGGACCTCTCGGTTCCCAACCCTCAGGGACCCAGAGTCTTCACCCCAGGGGCGGGCTGCTCCAGGCGTAAGGACTGTGCAAAAGTCAGATACGCTCTTGCGAGTGCTTGGTCAAGAGAGTTTCCATAATTATGCAAGAAATTTTGTTCTCTGGTGGCAGTATGGAATCACTTAGTGGGTTATATTTGTATCATTTTATTATTCTGGCTTTATTCCGGTTGCAGGATAACAAAGTTGTCACTTAAAAATATATTCTGTTTCCCCTTTGATCTGGGAGATGCCAGCTCTTATTGTCTGCCCTCTGACGAAGACAATTTAAGCATGAAGCCTGAGTCTGGGACGGTGAGGAGTGGAAGGACAGCCTACATCCCAGCAAAAGCGTGGCACACAAATATGCCCCCCGAATGCCAGGGCTGTTCCTACCCATCCATGTGCGTTTTCATGAAGCTGAGAGGTCCCAAATACCACTGTCCTGAGGGTGTGGCACTAAGCTTATGCCTGGGAGAAATCGATGGGGAAGGAGTCACTTGCCACAAAAATCCAGGAATTCTAGGCTTAGTTCCCCTTCGGGGAGTATTCTTAAGTGGAAAAGCATGGTTACTAGAATGGCAAGCATGTGGAAATTTCTGCCAAGCACTGACATCTTCCCTTATTGACTCTTGAACACCTGAAGAAACATTTGTGGAAGGAGAAATTATTGGTAGTCTCTCTCAAAACACACCCAACAGCAAGCTAATTGCTTTTGCAGATGGCCGGGGAGACGTTCTACCCACACAGCCATAGGCTTATGGCCACACTTGTGGTCCTCACAGCTGAGCCAGCAGCGCAGGACGTCAGCTGGGGCAGCTAGGACCTAAAATTAGGCCCTTGGCAACTCTCTAATCTTAGCTGCAGGCTCAGCTTCTTCGTTTAATTCCCCTTGCCCTCAGCATGAACTTGGGCTCGGGGAAAAGAGCGCTGCTTAACGATTTGGAAGTGAGGGAGGAGAAAATTAGTAAGCTGCCCCTTCTAGAAACTGGCTCCACTCAGTTCTTGCCAGGCTTCCAAATGTTACCCTTGGAAAGTTAAGACTA